CTTATATGCCGAAAAATACAGTAAACATTCATCACATAGGAAACAAGAGAAAGAAGCATAAAGTGGAAGTGGAGTAAACAGAAAAAGTACCTGCATGAGGGCATGCAGGAATTGAGTTCTTAGATGCTCCTTCACCTGGGAGCCTTTCTTTGAGATGATAGTTCCTTAGTAGCTACTCAACTTTAGCAGAAGCCTTCTCCAATACTTATGCAACTCCAATACTTATCCATCCTTCATAGGGCCCTTTCACACTACACAGTTATAGTGCTATAGTGATTCCATTTTAACTGCCATGGCTCCAGTCTATGTAATCCTGGCATTTGTAATTTAAGGAGCAGTACTTAGAATTCACAGCCAGGGAGTTCTAATGTCTCAGTAAACAACAAACCCCATGATACCATAGGTTTTTGCAATGGTAGTTGAAGTGGAATATAGTGTTGAATACTGTTATAATTGTATAGATTGTATGCTCATCTCCTTTGGTACAGGTTCAGACAGCAAAACCCTTTGCTTAGATAGATTTCTTCCTGACTGAGCATTAAGGCAAATGCTTTCCATCTTCCGAGCAATGCCTCCCCACCAACTAACTGTAATTTTTGACAGTCCCTTTCTGCCCTCTGCCAGCTCAACCATTCTTCTCTGAGGGTGAAGACAGGCCTACATGCTAGTGTGTGTTGACTCATATTAGCTGCAGTCTGCAGTTTCTGTTCTTAGGGCACTGAATATGTTTTCTAATCACTTCTGCTGCCCCTTAGGTGGTACATCTATGTTCAGAACTTGTCAACAACCTGCCTTTTGATACGCATATTTCTTTCAAGTTGGGTAGTCCTGACAAAAGGTTCATCGCAAGCAGGGTAGGCTGACAATGAAGCCTTCTGTGGTGCATTACTGGAACCCCTGGAACCCATCAATGTGTTTCAAATTTACAAGCGAAGAGTATATATTCAGGACTACTGATCAGCTATAGAGTACGTAACTGATGTGGGTTATGTGGATCTGAGTGTCATCCTTCAGAATGCATGAAGAGGCTTGATGTCTTAAACCAAAGATTAATTTCAGTTTAGCATTAAAGAAATCCAAGTGGTTCACCGAATTCACTATAGGCTTCAATCCTATTTCTAAGCCCAACAAGAACAGAATAAAAATGGATTTTCCTACATGTTAATTCACTATTCAACAATTGATTGAATTAATCTACTCTATTGGAATAACCAACAGGATTCCAGCTTTGGACCACTCTTGCACCTCCATTCTTCACTAAATTTCAGAAAGTATAATTTTTAATATGAAACGTTTCAAACTATCTGCTCATCTAGCCAAATATTGTCTTTTTTGTTGTTGTGTGTTTTTAAGTCTTTTCCAACTTATGGTGACCCTAAGACAACCCTGTCATGGGATTTTCTTGGCAAGATGTGTTCAGAGAAAGTTTTCCATTACCTTCCCCTGAAGCTGGGAGCATGTGACCTGCCCAGGATCACCCAGTGGGTTTCATGGTTGAGCTGGGAATCGAAGCCTAGTCTCCAGGGTCATAGTCCAACACTCAAACTCAATCGTCCATCCTGATTCAGATTCACGCTATCCCCACTATTGTTGCCAAAGTGAAAACTGGAGGTATCTCCTATAAAAGAGCCAATGTGGCACAGTGGCTTGAGAGTTGGACTACAACTCTGGAGACCAGGGTTTGATTCCCAGATTGGCCATGAGACACACTTTGTGACCTTCTGGAAGCCATACTCTCTTTTCCTCAGTGGATGGCAATCACAAGCCTCCTCTGAAGAAACTTGCCAAGAAAACCCTATGATAGGTTCACCTTAAGGTGGACATAAGTCAGAAACAACTTGGCAGTACACAACAACAAACAAACAACAAAAGAGGGAATTCCAGCATGTGTCGCTTGTTAGCTTGTTGCTGAAATCCTCTCTTCTACTCAACCATTAAAGACACAAGAGTTTTCACTCTGGCTACCCTATTCTCCCTTGTTGTAGATGGCACTGTCTACATCCAAAGCATGTGCTCCACCATTGAGCCATGGGTCCCTTTTACTTTGGCCTAGCTTCTGTTACCTAGGAAAAGGGTGAATCTTATGTGAGGTGACATTTTAATATTTTGTGAAGCTTTGTTTCTGACATCTCATCTGGTTCCTTCCTTCGTAAGCTCTTAACATACCAACATCTGGACTGGACATTCTGGAGGGCATGAGTTAGATTTAGTAATGGACTCAAAGTCAATCAGAAACAAAAGTGAGCTCTTAAGATACAATAGGAGGAGCCCCACAGAGAAGTAATGATGAGCCAAAGGGTGGATGGTAGCTTCTTTGAAGTCACTTGTCAAATTTGTTGCAGCTTCCCAGGAGGATGCTTTTCCTCCATAATTTCTGTGACCTTGGTTAAGCCCAGATAGGTGGCCACCAAGCACACCTGCATCCTGTAACCTCTTCAGAGGATGCAAAATAAAAAAAAATGGAAATATTGACTCCCCCTGAAGGCAGTAAGCCGCACTTTGGTCTTTGACCTTTGAAGCAGCCTAGGGTAGTCAATAAAAATCCGGGCAGTTAGATGCTTGGGCCTGCCGCTGATTTTGAGCTGGGAGTAGTTTAACCTTGAACCAAGATCCAAGTAACCAAGGCAACAGGAAGTAGGCCTCTGCATCCAAGGAGCAAGGCTCCATAAATCAAGGGTCCCTAATGCAAACACTGTGTGCAGGTAGAGATTTGGAGAGGATAAGTGGTTTGTGAGGGATTACCTTTGAAAAATGGATGACTGCCCCCTTGATATGGTGAAGCGCAGTTTCACAGAGGCCTGGGTTGGAGGAGGGGGATTTGAGGGTTTTTTTTATCAATAGAGGTCAAGGGGTTACAGCTGCTAGTTTTCATAGAGCTTTTTATACAGGATCTTCCACTTAATTATCAACAGATGTTGAATCCAGGAGGTAGTTAGCATTATTATATTCTACATACACATTCTCTCTCTTTTCATCTCTCTCTCTCTCTCTCTCACTGTCTCACACACACACACAAACACACATCTGTACATATGCTGCAATTGTTTCCATCTTTGCAATTTTGGCATGGCTCTAATTTGCTGCACATTTTTTTTTACCGCGTATGACACCATCTCATGTGGTTTGCACATTCTGCTTTGTTATCTGAAATCTGTGCAGGAAAGCGACTCATCTAAAGTCTCAAAACCATGAGGTCTTGGACTCTGCAAAGCAAAATAATGCTCCAAAAATGCAAAGGGGTATGTGCAGCAATCCTACAGCAGTGACTTTCAGCTTTTCATACCTAGGAGGACTCGTGCTTGACTCCAACTTTCACCCTGGGACCTATTCTCTGCCCACTTCCATGCATTTACTTTCTCATTATCCCATGGAGTCCTGCCAGGACTTTAACTCCACAAGCTAATGTGCAATCATTACTTTGGGAAGGTAATGTACAACTGGAAAGCAGCCATTTTAGACTTCCCCCAACCTCCATTAAAAAAAAAATCTTTTCGACACCTTTATTTTTTTCAATGACAATCTACAGGAAAGAATAAAAAAGAAATAAATAAAAATGGTGTCAGTCCCTACTTTAGGTCAATGTGACTATTTTAGGTCATTGTGAAGTCGAGTAACCTAGAGGGCCATACTTGCAGCTTCAGGCAAGGAGGATCTGTGCTTGGATACCTTTCACTTGTGGATCTCAGCTAACCAATTCTCTTTGTAGTTTTACCCTTCTCTTAACTAGGCTTGGATAACAGAAACGACCCTAATAGAAAGACAAGAACCTGGTAAAAGGGCATGACCTACAACTGTCATGATTTGGCTGGGACAGTCCCAATTAATCCTCTGGTATCCCACTTTTTCATCTGCTTTTAAAATGTCCCAGTTTCTCCCTCTTCGTCCCACTTTTCCCCATATGTCTTCAGCTGATGTCAGTCGTTGCAAACCTAAGTTTAAATTGCAAAATTATTTTGCACTCAGTTAAGTCAGAAGGCAAAAAAGAGAATCTCACCTTTCCCAGTTGTTCTTATCTACCTTTGAGTTGATCCTGACTCATGGTGACTTGTAGGTAAGACACCTCCAAGACTTCTGATTCTCCACTTCTGTGTTTAAGTCCTGTAGATTTCATACCCATGACCTACTCGAGTCTATCCATCTGGCAAGCAGTCTTCATCTCTTTCTGCTGCCTTCTACCTTTCCTAGCATCATTGTCTTTTCCATTAATTTGTGCTTTCTCATGATGTGGCCAAAGTACGATGACCTCAACTTTATCATCTTGGCTTCCAGAGAGATTTCAGGCTTAATCTGCTCAAGGACCCACTTGTCTGTCTTTTTGGCTGTATCCTCAGCACTCTTCTCCAGCATCACCTGCAACCTCTCCTAGCTTGTCTGTGCTTCCTCTTTAATAACGTTTTCCATCATGATGACACTTAGTTGTTGCTTTGTCAGTGTGTGGATGATGAGTGTTGCAGTGATGCACTTTGACACCCAGCAGAATCTGCAGGACAAGCTGGCTGCTGTGAACCACAGCCATTTGTATCTCTTGCCATCAACTGGCTCAGCTTCCCTTCTTCAGGATCC